TCCTGTAGCCCCTTCAGGTACTGGAAGGCCGCTATTAGGTCTCCCCGGAGCCTCCTCTTCTCCAGGCTGAACAACCCCAGCTCCCTCAGCCTGTCCTCGGAGCAGAGGTGCTCCATCCCCCTGATCCTTTCCTACGGATCCTCCAGCATCCCCTTTCCAAATGCCCCGTGTTCCCCAGGCAAAGGAGCACGGAGGGATGTGCAGCCAGACTCCATACCCACCAGCTCCCCAGAGCCTTTCCTCCCATCATCCCCGGACCGAACCAGCTTCTTCTCCTCATCCTCCCACCCGAAACACCTGGAAATCGTCCTCCCTTGAAGGTAGGAACCGGAGTTAAGAGGAAAAGGATGCCCTCGCTGCCAGGATGATGCCTCTGCCCTCTCGACTGGGTTATTCCAGGCTGCCAAGTGCAATCCAAACCATTTCAACAGCTTTCTCGTTCACGGATTAATCGCTCCGGCTTCATGGCAGAGATAAAAAAACCCGATTAAGCCGCCGCTTTGGGAACGCTCCCCCCGGCCCCGCCGCCGAGATCAAAAGGGAGTTTGAACCAGGGCCAAGGAGAGGGGAAAGAGGGAGGCACTCAAAGGGGAAGAAATCCCTGGAAAAAGGAAGCCGAGCGCTTCATCCCACCTCGCGGAGAGGAGCTTTCCCCGCCGGAAGGGTCCCTCGGCGTCTCCGCCGCGCCACGGTTCGACAGTGCGGGCGCTTGCCTGTGACTTCAGGAATATGTTGTTAATCCTGGGAATTTTCTTTCTGACAGTGTTGAGGCATCTCAGCCCTCCCTGGCTCGAAGAGCTTCCGTGGCCGAGCCAGGCAAAGCTTGGCAGATCCTTGGCACCCACTTAGAAACCAGCCCCATCCCCGGCTTTCGGCGCCTGAATTCATCCCTTCTCCCAGTGGGATCCCGCTCCGGCTGTGGGATCGCTCAGAGGAGGCAGGGGATGGAAGATGGGGAGAGATGCTCCAGCTTTTTTGGATCATACTGAACCATATTTTCCACCAGCCGAGCAGATGTCATCTTTATTGCCCCAATACAGTACTGTGTCCAGTTTTGGGCCCCCTACCATAAAAAAAGACATTGAGGTGCTGGAGCGGGTCCAGAGAAGGGCGACAAAGATGGTGAGGGGTCTGGAGAATAAGTCTTATGAGGAGAGGCTGAGGGAGCTGGGGGTGTTCAGCCTGGAGAAGAGGAGGCTGAGGGGAGACCTTCTTGCTCTCTCCAACTCCCTGAAAGGAGGGTGTAGAGAGATGGGGGTCGGTCTCTTTTCTCAAGTCACAGGCGACAGGACAAGAGGAAATGGCCTCAAGTTGCACCAGGGGAGGTTCAGGCTGGATATTAGGAAAAATTTTTTCACTGAAAGGGTCATCAGCCATTGGAATGGGCTGCCCAGGGAGGTGGTTGAGGCACCATCCCTGGAGGTGTTCAAAAGACGGGTTGATGTAGTGCTGGGAGGTCTGGTTTAGTGATGATGCTCCTTGTTTGCTGTGTGGGTGTCTGTTTTTGTCAGTTAGGTTGATGGTTGGACAAGATGATCTTTAAGGTCCCTTCCAACCTAGAAGATTCTGGGATTCTGTGAAAATATTTTGGTTTCTGAGCCGGATGCTATCCCCCCACCTTTCTATGGTGGTGCTCAGGAGATGTGGCTGCTGCACATCCCTCCAGCGAAGGATGGGAGATGAAAAGGAAAACATGAAGCATCATCTGGCCAAAAACCTCCCATCCAGTGCTGGAAAGGACAAGGCACAATCTCTGACTCTCAATCTCCATCACCTCTTCCCCTACGGACGCATCCCCAGAGTGCCCCGAAGTCCTGTCTCTTCCCTCAGAGCTGCTGGTGATTAAGGAATTTTCCAGTATAGGAGCTGAACTGGGAGAGGAGGAACCAAGGAAAAAATGTTGGAGAAGCAGAAATGGAGTGAATCTCCACCACGAGCCACTTTGCAGAGAAAACAAAGACATTTCTTCTCGTTGCTTCAACAATTTTCTCCTGCTTTTTTTTTTTCCCCACAGTCCATTTCAAACAGTTAAAACATTTCCCCAAAGTTTTCCAAAATTCAAAAAAAAGTCTAGAAGCTGTTTCCTCTCACGTGTCGGAATTTGTAAGAAGTTTTGCTCGTCCTAAAACTCCATTTTCCAAAAATTTTACTGATTTCCAAAGCCTCTTCCCCCACTTTTAAATATAAAAAGCAAAGCAGCTCCTCTCAAACTAACACAGCTCTTCCTTCCAACTTCCAAACACCCTGTTCCACTTCTTACCAGGGATGTTTTTAAAGCTTCAAAGCTATTTCATGTTGGGAAATGCGTGTGATGGATGGTCCAGAGGTCCTTCTCCAGGTCCAGTGATGAGGAACAACATCCCTGCATCCCTCTGAAACACCTTCCTACCAGGAACTGCTGCGGCTCCATCACAGGAATGAGACTGGATAATTCATCATGGGATAATTTATAGGATAAGGAAGAAGGAGATGATGATAAAAGACGGGGGTAAAATCCTACCGCGTGGTTTTGAGGTGGAAAATGTGGTGGATGCGAGTCTCCATTGCCATCCCAGTTTGAACTCCCAGCTTAACTGGTTTGGTGACTCGTGAGGAACACAGATCCCACCAAAACCCATGAAGAGCAGCAGGGGAATATCCCTCTCGTGAGCACACGTGAGCAAAAAAAGCAGAGCAAGAGCTTCCTACCTGCCTCGTCCTCCGACTCTTCCTCGTCCTTCTCCACTTTGCAGCCCGGGTCACTGGGGCAGGGGGAGGACTGGAGGGAGATGAAGGACGGCAGCTTTTGGAGCTTGTTGGTTGTTGAGGTCTCTGTCTCTTTCCAAAACTTCACTTCTTGCTCCGAGCTGGAAGGTCCGGGCATTTCTCCATCATCGTGGACCTGAGCTGGATTATTCCTGCAGGAGGAAAAAAATAATAAGGAAAAATAAAAATGATCCTTCTTGGCAACACCATGTGCAACGGAAGAGGTTGGGCCCCATCCCAGTTCCACCCCAGGATGCTCCGTATCTCTGATTTCATAGGAACCAGCTCCAATTCAGCCAGAGTTTCTTAGTTTCCCAGCTGGATCTCCTTCCCTGGGCTTCTCTGCCAGGTTTCCAGCTCTCGGATGCTCCTGGAGGTGCTGGGCTCCCTTTTGGCTGGAGAAGAGGAGAGATGGAGGGAGCAGGGATGCCTCGAAGATGTCCCACTGGTCCTGGCACAGCCCCAGCCCTGCCGCCCTCCTCCCAGCCCAGTGAATGTGACACTTCAGCTCATCTGAAGTCTCCGACGACGGTGCCAATAAAGGGATTAAAAAAACCCCACCTCCCGAGCAGCTTCCAAGCTCGGGAGGGCTCCCTTTCCCCACGGAGGATGCCAGAGGATGGGAGAGGGGGGGTGCCTCCTGCCACCCAGCCCCGAGCTCATGTCTCCTTACCTAAAAAGAGCAAGGAGCTATTTTACACCTCGTTCACACCGGGGAGGGGGGACATGAGCTGGGTGTCATTCCAAGGCTCTTCTGTCACCGGAGAGTCCGCCCGAGCGCTCGTCCCCCCTCCACTACCTTACAAGGCAGGGCCAGGATGAGACCCAGGACCAGGCTAGAGTATGGACCAGAGCAGCACAACTCCCCAAACCCCCCCCATTTCCATCCCACCTTCATCCCCACATCCCACTGCAAAGATCCATGGAAGAGCTGAGCATCCAAGCCAACGTTCTCTCCTCCCGTTAACCAGGACTCTTAGATTTTGGCTTTTAAAACCAAATTTCAATTTGACTATATTTTAAATTACATCGGGATGGAGTCGTTCCAGGGCTCAGGGATGAGGGCAGAAGAAGGCAAGGATGCACCAAGCTCAAGAAAATCTGTGTCCCTGTGGGGATGAGGACCAACGTGTCCCTCAGCCTGCAGGCTCCATCCCAGCACCCAAAAGCATCGTCTTTGCCCAAAGAGAGCTCAGAGAGCTTCCAAGGGTTAGCCATCAAAAGGCTTAACAAAGCCTATTTTATTTCCATGTCCACCTCCATTTCTGCTTCTTCAGGCAGTGAGTCCCACCCTGATGGTGAGCCCCTCCATGCCACATTGAGGGCTCAGCTCTGCTCTCCACCATGGATTTGAAGATGAGAAAGGAAGAGGGATGATGGTTTCCAGTTTCCCACCAAGCTATGGATAAGCTGTACCCACTTTTGGTGGTGGAGTCTCTGTCAGGCCTTCTCCATCTCCCAGGAGGAAGGTCTACAAAAGCCCCTGAGATACCTAGAGGTGCCAAAGCCCTGGGCAGCACATAAGGGTGAAGATACACACACTCCAACGGCACACATCAGGTAGCAAGATGTTTTCCTCTCTTTCCATCAGCTTTGTCTAGAGACCTCTCCCTCAAGCATGGACCCTCCCCAACCCTATTGCCCATGGTGGCACTACCAAGAAGGCACCACAGTGACCCACATCAGCAAAGTCTTAAAATAAACCATCAGGCAGATGGATACACATCTGGAAGAGGATGGGAAGAGAACTTTTGAAGAGCAGCAAAGCGTGTTTCTTCTGCTCTTTCCTACCTGCTTGTCTCCTCCCAGACCCGTCTCCACTTGGAGGGAGGGTCACCACGGTCCTCATCTTCTGCCTTTCTTGTGTGGCGCTTCTTCTGAGGGTGCAGGAGCTTGCACTGGGCACCCTTGGGGCAAACACCCTTCTTGGCAAAGTCGGGACAAACCAGCGTGTGCTTCTTCTTGCACTGCAAGGGAAAAGGAGAAGAACGTTGGGAAAGGCAGCAAAAGCCCCACGGGGAGGACAAGTTCTCAGAGCTGAGCTCCTTCAAGTGGCACCAACACATTGTTAAAGGAAGAGAAGGACGTGTAGGTGCTTCCTTCTCTGTATCAAAACACTGTTCCATTCCAAAATACTATTTAAAAATAATATTATCCTCTGGGAGACATTACACACTCACTCACAGCCTTCCAAGAGCCTGATTTTACGGACCCAAACCACCAAAGTCTCAACAACAATGATCTACCCTCAAGCTGGTGATGTCCCAAAGAGGGCATCCCAGAAGGATGGTCCCAAAGAGGTTAACTGAGCTTGAGAAGCTGGTTTTGGAGAGAACACAGGGTTTTCTTGTCCCAGACATGCTTGGGATTTGGGGAGGAACAGGGAATAGCAGGAACAAATCACTTTTAGGACTTATTTTGGAATCTCTGCCTGGACCACCCTCCTGATGAAGGCAGCTGAGGGTTGGAGCTCAACCTGGCCTGCTCAGGGCTTGGAAATGAACTTGGTTGATGCTCTCCTGTCCAAGGAAGCTTAGTGTGGCCACAGCATGGGGCTGGCAAAATGATGGCATCAATATGTTCACCCCTAAAACTGCTTCTGTGCTTCCAGCCTGTAATTCTGGTGACTCCAAGCAGCAATGCTCACAGCTGTCCCCACAGCCACCAGCTGTGCCAGTGGGAGACGTCAGCAGTGCTCCACAGCTTCCTCCAGACAAAGCTTTCTGCTGGGAAATGTCCCTTTTCGGTATCAAGAAAGGTGGGATGAGCTGCAGACAAGGCAGAAGAGACACCTTCGGGTGGGATTTCTATCTGTATGGCCAGGAATGTTGGCTGGAGTGGGAGAGAAAGAACAGCCTCTCTCTAATCTCCAACTGTTCCCAACACTCAGTGACCCAGAGAGCTCATCCCAGCATATCTCAAGGGATGCAGGGTGGGAGAAGGTCTTGGAGCCCTGCTTGGCCCCACAATTCCCTGGGGGGACCCACTCCCACTCAGGGTGCTTCCTCCTACCCCTCAGGATGAGCCCACCTTGGCACCACCCCGCGATGACACCCATGGCAAGACCCAACGCAACACATACAGCGCAATGAAGGCTCCACAACACCAAGACCCATTTGCCTGTTCACCTTCTCCATGAGCAAAGACAGAGCCTGTTTTTTCCCTATGTGGGTCCTCCTACCCTTGAGCACCCAAGCTGCAAACCTCCTGCACAGATGCTCAAATTTTCATAGTCATCGAATTGTTGAGGTTGGAAGGGACAATACAGATCATCAAGTCCAACCAGCAGCCCAACACTGACAAACCCACCACTAACCCATGTCCCTCACCACCACATCTGCCTGGCTTTTCAATACTTCCAGGGATGGTGACTCTACTACTGCCCTGGGCAGCCTCTTCCAATATTCGATAACCCTTTTCATGAAGAAATTTTTCCTAATATCCATCCTAAACCTTCCCCGGCACAACTTGAGGCCGTTTCCTCTTGTCCTATTGCCTGTTCCTTGGGAAAAGAGACCAACCCCCACCTCTCTACAACCTCCTTTCAGGACGTAGTGAACCCCCTTTTGCACAAGTTTGGAAGAAAAGGGGACAAATCCCCAGGAAAAGACACACAGTTGGGGTTTCAGCATGATCATTCTCGCCTGTTTATAAAAATGCATCTTCCTGACGAGGGGGGATGTAGGTGAGCTCTTGCCCTTTTAATGCAACTTGACTTTGAGGGCATGGCAGACGCTCGTCATGATGACCTTTGGGATTAAGCGGCAGCCCCGCTGAGCCCTGGGAGCTCTCTCCTTGAAAGGGCAGGAGGGTTCAGCAGCTCCGATGCCTGGGGCCAGTCGTTGAAGTCGGCAGCAGAGCAAGGAGCTCATCTGCTGGAGGTTGGGGATGGCGCTGAGCAGCAGGAGGGCTGGGATCCAGATGGACACGGACATCGGCTCGATGGGGGGGACGGTGCAGCGACAGCATCGCTTTTCCACTGAAAATTCATTAAAAAAACCTAGGTCCCATGACTTTCCCCCTCTATTTGAAGGATCTTCAGTGGCAAGGAAGTCTACAACCCAATGGGCAACTTGAAAGTAGAGTCATCTCTGAACAGCACTCAGGCTCTGCCCTTACTCCAAAATCATATGTTGCATAGAATCACAGAATCATAGAATGGTTTGGGTTGGAAAGGACCTTTCAAGATCATAGAATCACAGAATCATATGGGGTTGGAAGGGACCTCTGGAGATCATCTAGTCCAACCCCCCTGCCAGAGCGGATCTACCTACAGCACGTTGCACAGGAACTTGTCCAGGCAGGTTTTGAATGTTTCCAAAGAAGGAGACTCCACCACCTCTCTGGGCAGCCTGTTCCAGTGCTCTACCACTCTCACAGTAAAGAAGCTCCTCCTCACGTTTAGGTGGAACTTCTTATACTCGAGTTTTTGCCCATTTCCTCTTGTCCTGTCACTGGGCACCACCGAAAAAAGATCAGCCCTGTCCTCCCGACACCTTCCCTTTAAGTATTTGTAAGCATTGATTAGATCTCCCCTAAGTCTTCTCAAGATCATCAGGTCCAACTTCCATGTCATAGGCAAGGACATCATTCATTGCCAGGGCAGCAGCTCTTCAGAGCCTCCGGCCAAGGAGGTGAGATCAACTCCTGTATAGGAGTGTCCAGCACAAAATGGACTTGGGAAGGAGAAGAGCAGGAAAATAGAGACCTGGCCTCAAAAAGACACATGGATTATAGAATCATCGACGTTGGAAAAAACCCTTTAGGTCATCGAGTCCAACTGTAAACCTTAGATTGCCAAAACCACCACTAACCCATGTCCCTCAGCACCATGTCTCCCTGTCTTTTCAATATCTCCAGGGATGGTGACTCCACCACTTCCATGGGCAGCCTCTTCCAATGCCTGATAATCCTTTTGGTGAGGAAATTTTTCCTAAGATCCATCCTAACTTGAGGACATTTCCTCTTGTCCTATTGCTTATTACTTGGGAGAAGACACCAACACCAACCTCCCTACAACCTCCTTTCAGGCAGTTGGATGCACCACCCTCACAGCTGGTTTTGCCAAAGAATGATGCTATTTTTGGGAAAAAACATCAACCTCACCTCCTTTCAGGCAGTTGGATGCACCACCCTCACAGCTGGTTTTGCCAAAGAATGATGCTATTTTTGGGAAAAAACTGAGAAACGTGGCTGTTTCTTCCCAGTAGGGCACCTGAGGGATTGGTTACAAATCCCTGGGCAGGGGGACACACTGCCATGGTCCTGGTTGGGTATCACGACGTCCCACCTCCCCCGTCCTCTCATCAGCACCACCTTGGAAGTCAATCATTGTACCAGACCACGTTTATTGGCTCCACAGCAAAAAGCTACTTAATAAAGAAAACAAACCGTGTCCGACTAATCCCAGGGTTGCGTCCCCGGCTCGGGTTTCTAATGGTTTTTCCACGTTGCTCCCAGGGCTCGGCCCTTCTTCCGTAACACCTCGTCCATCACCGCTGTTTCGGGGCTGGGATGGCCTCGGTGGCTGGAAAAGCCCCTCCTCTTGATTTACTGCAGCTCTTCTGCTCTTGCCCTGCCTCCCAAACACGCCGTTTGGGGCCGGGATGCCGTAAGGTTTGTCGCTTTGCCGTGTGTCAACCAGGGTGAAGCCGAGCCGGGGGGCCACGGGGTGCCACCCCCGCGCCTGGGGGCCATCCGATCCCTTCCACCTGTCGAGGTGGCTAATTATACCCCCGTGGGACCCCCGCCAACCCACAGGTTGGACCATAAAAAGAGAAAAAAAAACAACAAACCCTCTGGTCCCATCCAAAAGAGATGAGAGAAAACTCAGAGCACCCCTAAAAAACCCTGGGGAGAACTCCCTGTCCTCTCATCGGCACCATCTTGGAAGTCAATCATTGTACCAGACCACGTTTATTGGCTCCACAGCAAAAAGCTACTTAATAAAGAAAACAAACCATGTCTGACTAATCCCAGGGTTGCGTCCCCGGCTCGGGTTTCTAATGGTTTTTCCACGTTGCTCCCAGGGCTCGGCCCTTCTTCCGTAACACCTCGTCCATCACCGCTGTTTCGGGGCTGGGATGGCCTCGGTGGCTGGAAAAGCCCCTCCTCTTGATTTACTGCAGCTCTTCTGCTCTTGCCCTGCCTCCCAAACACGCCGTTTGGGGCCGGGATGCCGTAAGGTTTGTCGCTTTGCCGTGTGTCAACCAGGGTGAAGCCGAGCCGGGGGGCCACGGGGTGCCACCCCCGCGCCTGGGGGCCATCCGATCCCTTCCACCTGTCGAGGTGGCTAATTATACCCCCGTGGGACCCCCGCCAACCCACAGGTTGGACCATAAAAAGAGAAAAAAAAACAACAAACCCTCTGGTCCCATCCAAAAGAGATGAGAGAAAACTCAGAGCACCCCTAAAAAACCCTGGGGAGAACCCTCGGGTGCTGATGAGGTTGTGTCCATCCTACTGATGGCTCCATCCTGGTGTCCTGGCTCCGGGGTTCCCCCCCAGCAGCCCAGACCAGCAGTGGTGCCCAGTACTGGGAGGGTGCCCAGCTGGCAACCCCCGTGGCTGGGACTCCTCCCTGGCTGCCAAGACAACCCTGGGTGAAATTCAAGGTGCTGTTAACGACCCACAAAAGCCTTAAATGGCCCCGTGGTCCCCAACACACACAGGGAGTAGGACGGGGGACGAGGAGGTTTGCAGGGCGAAGCCTTCTTTAGCACGGACCTGGCAAAGGAGGAGGCAACAACTGGTTCAAGGTCCCGGCTCAGCCCAGGGAATGACGTTAATTAACATTTTCCAGGAACAAGCTTGGCAGGAGACGGCGGAGGGCGGGAGGAAGGCGAAGCTGGGTTACTGGGCCGATCAACAACCGCCCACTGACCTTACGGGGTAGGGATGAGAGGTCTCATCCAGCCCGGCATTCCCGGCTCCGTTCCACCAGCAGTTTGCCCAGGTTGAACTTCTC